AAAATATTGGGGCAATTGTGGAGAACTCCTTGAAAAATCCTGTAGGCTGAATAGCAGTCATAGTCAGCTATCAGTTGGCTCGATCAATTGTTGGGGAGGGGTCGTGAATGAATGAATGAATGATTCGATACCTTAATAGCAGCATAGGCTGAATTGCTAAGGTCTACAGTGTTACTAAGGTTGAGATCGGACATCAGCATTATCAGGCGCCTCTGGCAGCCGCTTTAGTCCATTTAACGACCTCACCTTTTTCCCCCCACACATCCCACCCCAGGGGAGGACATCCATCACACAGTAATCTCGTGTGTGGGAAATTAACGTCTCCTACCCCTAACCCTGCAGGAGACGGGACCACCACTTTATTCGTCCTTATCCGAGAAGACTAGAATATCTATCCATTTCATTGATGTTAAAGAAAGGTAGCAAATTCTCCTCAGTTATTTTAAGACCATGAGTATTGGTCCGGCCGGGGCTCGAACCCTCGACCTCCCGCACAACACAATCCGGCGCTCTAACCAATTGAGCTAACCAGGAGGCGGTGGGTGGGTGTTTTAGAGGACCACTGGGGAGAATACTTTCAAAGTAATTGGTGTCACCCTCTTAAAATAAAGGTTATTATGATTAACTGTTGGCCAACAGTCAACTGCCAGGTGGTAATCTGTCAATAAGTTTTTGAACCAAAAAGAAGTTTGCAAAACATTATAGGGGTGATTCTACATGCTTCAACATTCAAGAGACCACAGCAAAAATATGGGTGTAAAATTGTGGCATCAACTCATTTTAAAAATGATGCAACATATGTAGAGTAAGTTCAACATTTAAATCATGTATAAAGTACAGCGAAAGTTCTATTTTTGACCTTAATTCTTGGCTATATTGCTGTAAATAGAATTAACATTTTTGTGATGGCCAACTGGTAACCTTTCCATAGCCTGTTAGTAGTCTGTTGGTCAACAGTCAACGAAGGGGAGCTTTTCTTCATAATAACCAAAATTGGCCACCATATAACCAAAATTGGCCATCATATAACCAAGTTTTCTTGATCCCAGTTTGATTTTTGTTTCCAATTTTATCCCCTTAGCTCCCACATCTCAGTTAGTTTTGTTGTGGGTTATGAAATATTTTCTAGTGGTCAATACATCTGGGGCTTGAAGGGACTGTTTATAATTACCTAAAACTTTACCAACAAACTAACAAAAATGTAAGTTCACTAACCTACAGTTGTGGGGCATTCTTCAGTTTTATTTTCTTCAGAATTGTTTGCGCTGGGTTCTTCCCCGCCTTTAAGAATTTCGTCTGGGCTCGGATCTGAATTCGGCGGCGGTGGGTTGGAGTAGGGCACGTATTCACCACCGTCAGGTATGCTTCTTTTGCCTCCATTAGCCGGTTGTAGTTTTTTCTTCCTTTTCTTCCATTTCTTACCCCAAGGTCCCTTTAACTTTAAGAATGCTTCCATCCTTTCACAGAACAATTATTTCAGTTACAACGCAACTCGCGAACCAGCGAAAACATCAGAAGCGTTTCATGAGAATATCCTGTCAACAAATAAGGAAATTTACAACAGATGAAACTGATCTAACTTGTAAAGCGATCTTCCTAAGATAATATTATGGTCACACAATCGATCATCAACGCAAACCGTATAAGCAAACAAACCCGTTGGAGTTTCTTGAATCAGAAATGCAACAGATCTCTACATCGAGAAGATTCGAGGAAACGCAAGCGGCTTGTCAATTTTGATCATTTCTTTCTGAGAAAACGCGGGGATACTGATAAGATCGCGTATTTGTCTGGGACTGACCAGAAATTTAGTCGAGACAGACAATCTGGTTTACCAACAGTCTCAACAGACAATTAGGGTATGAATTTTGCACGATCATTTATTCAAATCTCTCACTTTAGTCTGTATACTTCAAAACATTACGTTCAAAATCGATCGCGATCGTTAAGGGAATACCGTGACCAAAGACGAGGAAACACAGAGTATTGTCTTCAGAAAGAGTGATGGTAAAGTCAAATCATTCTGAGGGGACCTGAATAAAAGAATCTCGATTCGTGAAGAATTTCTTGAATCATCGGATTAAAAAAAACGTAAGATCTGTGCTCTGTAACCAGCAAACCCAAGATTAGCTAGAAGAAGGAAATTACAACTGCTGCATCAAAACCGAACAGCCGTGTTTCTTCTACCTTTTTCACACGATAGAGATCCTCTCACTTTTCTCATTTAACAGAATTGGGGGCTTTTCACGGCTACCACTTCATTCACAGAATACACAACGGAGAGTACGTTTGGATTCCAACCCTTCACTTAAAAATATAAGCCATTCAACACCGCAGATGAACAAACAAAAAATACCTTATCAAATATGATAAGCACCGTTTCGATACAATTAGTAAAAACTCTACAAGCCTGTACACTGTAATTTCTACTTACATGAGGGGCACAAGGCCCGCAGACCACGAGAAAAGCTGTAAGATGTCGCTCTTCAATCCAGGCAATGGAGGACAAACGGGGGACGTAAAAGACTCCCACTTGCATATCACGTGACCGGAATTTATGTTCTCGACTACTTCCTATTAGTGCTTCCGCCTTCCATAAATGTTATCTGTTGTAAATTTCTCGAAAATTCTTCGTAAACCGATCGGAAACACCTCGGATTTGGGTGTGCGAACAGCCATAAGGGCTATATCTGTTCTCTTCGTTTATTTTTTTCATTATTATTTTTAAACGGTTGTTGTTGTTGTTGTCGTGTCTCATGTTTGGTGGGCTGATTTCAATTTTGACTCTCCCTTAACCTAGCCAGTTGCTGGAAGTTAAAAAAAAGTTTGTGGAATGATTTACCCTCAGGTACAGTAAGAACTGTAAACAAGTATGTCACACCCATATTTTTGCTGTGGTCTCTTGAATGTCGAAGCATGTAGAATCACCCCTATAATGCTTTGCAAACTTCTTTTTGGTTCAAAAACTTATTGACAGATTACCAGCTGGCAGTAATTCTGTGCTGTTAAACCTTAAAACTCCCAAAAGTGTTAACGTGTAACTTCTCCCTATAACATCCAAACATTTTCCAGCAAACAGGTAATGGAAATACTTAGTTATCAGGTTAAAGTTGTAGGCATTATCTAACACCAAAATCTTGTAACTTATTTTCTAAGAAATGTGTGCCAGTTAGAAGGGAGAATAAACTAATACATCTGGGGAGTTCAATGGTTACGGTGCAATAGTCCAACACATCTTCAACACATCCCTAATAAATTGCTTTGCATTTTTCAGTCTACACACTTGCTGGGTGGTAATCCTGGAAAAACGGTCTCAAGAGCAGACTTTTGGGAGCCCCAACACTGGGTTTTTATCCATAAGCAAGGAATTCAAAAGAACTGTTCATTTAACATCAGTAGACATTCTTCTCAAAAGAAACTCATACTTCACTTGGAAGCTGCCTTTCTGTTAAAACAATGCTTAGCATCATATGCTTGATCTGTCTTGCATGCTGAATATTATGCCCATTTTCACTCTCAAAATTGACCAACATGTAGGTTCTCCCCATAATATGAACATATTACTCAGATATTGATGGAAGAAAACCTTATTAATGGTGTTTGCTTAATATAAAACCGATGCCTTTGTGTTTAGCAAGTAAAGGGGAAATTAAATAATAGGATATAATATGGCTTACCAAGACACCAAATTTTCAATACATTCAGAAAGGAGATTCCATTAAATTGTTTGATTTCCCTTTTCCTGCTCAACAAGTTGGGACCTTTTTGATGTTACCATAACAACTGTAGTCTCTTGAAAATAAGGCTTTGTAACAATAACCCCCAACCAGAGGAAAAGTTTAGTTGATCCCCATCTTTTGAAATCAAATAACAATCTGCTTGTTCAAATTCATCTCTCTACAAAGTTATTAAAAAACTGTGATGTAGCAGTACAGCCACTTTAATTTTTCAATAGTTAAATAAAATGAAAAAGCTTTCTGTCTTGAAATATCTTACATACACTTTATTGCACTAAATGGTCAACACTTAGGTAAAATACATATCTTAAATTGAGGCATAAAAATTATGCTGAACATGAGGCAATAAACTGGATCATTGAAGATTAAAAGAAATATTTTAATACAAAATATTTATGTCATTTTTGGTATACAGTATATTCAAGAACTGAAGAATCATTTCACTGCATTCATTCCTCAGCAAAGACTGTTATAATTTTAGTAATTAAGATAGAGGAACTATGGTCTGTCATGAACAGGTTTGTATATAATAGTCTATTCTAAAAACTGGTAAGTTTCAAAGAACTGTTAAGAAAATTGTATTTCTCTGTCATTTCACGATCATATCATCCTAGCCTTGGTTGGTCAAAGACTGAGTGGCTTGTATCCACTTCATTAATTGCTAACCAGAGGATAAATATTTACAAAACATTACATGGTATCTGCTCAATAGCAATTCACTTAGTGGCTAAAGTTATGTAGCCTTGAAATGAGCGGGAACTGGCCTACAATATGTAAATTTCATAAATCACAAACTTTTAACAGTTTCTGCATGATAGAAAGGTAGTAAGTGGGTAGGTAAGGGGACCATTCCTCTCATAAATTCCAAACAATAAAGGATCCTGGGCCAATAAATTGTGGCCATTAAACACTTTTAATGGTTATGTCTGCTAATAAAAATTTCAGAAAATTCAAATTAATGGCTACTGGTATAAAAATAGTTAAAGAAAAAAAATGAATGAAACTAACTAAAGGGCAGAACTAAAATTTCAAAAAATCCAGACTGAATGCTCATTAAATATTTGTTTTCTATACATGTCTTACATCCTTGCTATCATACTCAGAAACCATAGCCTCTCAATAGATTTTGGGTATGCTTACTGCCTTACTGATGTCCACATACATAAGCTGACAATAACACATTACTCAGATACTGGGCACGTTGGTTTTATTTTTTATCTCACACCTGACTGTTTAATTCATCTCAGTGGAATTAATATACCTTCAACAGACCCATACTCCCTGGTTCAAAAATTATCCTTGTACAGCAAGCTCTGCACATTTTCTGCAGAAGCATATATGCATTTGCCACTTTTTTATTCATAATAGCTCGACTTTCACTGCTGTCTACTTTCTTTGCACAGTGCTAAAAAAGGGGAAGGAACATTCGGAATAGAGGGTGGTTTTCAAGTACCTGAATTCACAGACACACACATTCAAACAGAGGGCAGCAAAGGGTTTATATGTAATGTGTGATTAAGCCCAAAATTAATAAGTAACCAGTGAATTTAACAGAAAGGCAAAGTAAGGAGACATTTCACTTAAATCTAATAAATTTGTGAGGCTGAAATACTGAGGTATGGTTGAGAGTATATGTGATGTGTGAATTTTCATAAAATTTATGCATGAAACAGGATCAGTAGCCCTCTTTGTTATCAATTAATACTCTCAAAATTGAATTCCTAGCAACAAAAAGCATCCACCCTTCAAGAGCCTTCAAGAAAAATAAATAAATAAATTGAGGAAAACCCAACATGTAAGAACAAAACCATGCAGGCAGATCTGACAGAGGTGAATAACGAAATGCTACATCAGTGGGTATGCTGTCAACAATGCGGGCTCGAGTGTCTTAGGTTAAAATTTAGCGAAATTAGCGGAAAATAATAAGGGCTGACCTTTCAAACCGAGGAACTCTGTTTTCATTGAAGGCACTTTCCTATTTCCAAAGGTTTAAAGGAGAAAATTAATTTTTGAAAATTTTTAGGGCGTGTACCAAATTTTTGGAGGTTGTTCTCTAAAAGAAAAGTGGCAAGGAAAACAATGCCTCTAAGCAACAGAATAAGAAATCAACCATGCGAACGATTGAAAATCCGTGTTTCCGCGGCAAAACCTGGCACATGCGTATCTGTTATTCAGCTCTGTCGGCAGATCTAACATTCTGTACACAATTGCTTAAATTCAAATATTGCGTGTGAGAGTGTCACATAACAGATTCCAGAAGTGTTTTTCATCCTGCCTGAGGTAATCAAGGTAGGTGATGTGAGAAAGGGTACGTGGAATACTGCATCTATATTCCTCATCAATGAGCACTGGTATAATTCGCTTCTCTTTAGCACCTGTGAAACAAAACAGATGAAACGTTTTCACAACTAGACCAGAGATTTAGAAAACCAGACCAAGATTATTGTAGTTTTCAAAAGGCATGACCTGGCTAAAAGAATCTGAGTTGCTTATTCAACTCACGGCAGGTAGTTCTCCAGTATTTTCGAAGGTTTCTCTAACAATTTGGTGGTCTCTGATATTTTAATATTCATAAGCAAAGGGAAGTACTAAAAGAATCTCACTCCTATCTTGCTCAAGAATATTGACATGTTTAAACAGTACATACAAAAACCCTTCCTTTACATTTGCCTACTAGCCTATCCACTAAACTTCACTTAAGTCTAGCAGTTTATTGCTATTTTCTATTATGACAACCCTACTCAATTAACATAGACTGGAGAATAGCAAATATTCTGCTGAATATAATTTGTGTAAATAGAAGAAGGACTTTCAGATAAAAATCAGAGAGAAAAACCCAAAACTAAAGTAATCAGAGCAGCCAATTGATACCACAGAAGATTTCAGAGTCGTTAAATGAAGACTGTAGCTCCAATCGTGTGCATTTGATGTCAACATCCAGGAAATCAACCATGTGCTTGTTGAAAAAGAACTAGTTGTGTTTGTACTGGCACATTTTGTTACCTAATATTGTTGTTGTTGTTGTTGGACACTCTAGACTCAAAACAGTCAGTAAGTTTTATTGTATTTCATGTACATTGTAATTTCCCTCCCTAAGGTGTAATTTCTGTTTGTAGAAATCCTGCCTTACTGTCAAATTTGTATGTTTACTCAGTTCAACTATGGAAACATTTGTGGATTCTCATTTATTTAACAATTTGCCAAAGGCAGGTAAATTTGCAATAGGACAAGGTTGAAATCCCAGTAAATAAACAGTTTGAGTTTTCACTTTTGAGTGTATTCTTATGTGTTTCTGTGAAATGCATAACAAAGACCTTAAACAATGGGTACATCCAAACTGTCCCAGTACTAAAACTCAAAGAAAGGAAAGTTAGAATTATATCTAGATTTTCATCTGACCAGCCCAAAAATGGAAAGAGTTTCATCATCATATGAATCACAGAGTTTCACATCCCAGATCTCCATATCAAGTGCATTTTCCCTGAATTCTAAGAAAACCAAGGCCATTCTTATCTCAACTCCACAGATGGCTCATGTACATTCTCTTGGAAATCCAGAGTTGGGATTAGAAGTCTCTGGTACACCAGTGGAACATATAAATGTTACAAAACTCCTAGGGGTACACATTGACTCGAATCTTAAATGAGAATTTCATATCAGTTCTATTCTTAAATCTTGTTATGCAACTCTGAGAACCTTAAGAAATATAAGGAACTTTACCAATTTTAAACTACGGAAACAATTGGTAGAAACATTAATTCTGTCTAAAATAAGATATTGTGACACTGTTTTTATCCACTACCAAAGTTCCTCTCAGCTAGACTACAAAGGCGCCAGTTCGCTATGGCTAGTTGCTTTGCGGTCAAATTGCCTACGACCAAACTCGCCTACGAACAAACTTGCCTACAACTGTTCAGCTCGTCTAAGTAGGTGACTTCGCCTCCTCATGCAGGCGAATTCACTCAAGTAATGCATGCCTTTAAAGTGGAACATGCTTGCAATTATAGCATGTTTTCTTGGTCATGTTAACATCATCTTAGCATTCTTTATAATGTTCGTAAATTTCGTCAATAGTTCACTTAGATAAGTTAACTTACGAGTGAATTGCCAGGTTTGTTGAGTGTTAAAGTCATAATCACATGAAGTACCTAAAACAATATCCTATTGAAGTTGAAAAAGTCTCACCTTCTTTGCTCAGTGCCGCACAAGTGAAATAAACATCTATGTTTATTTTTATGTTTATTATTTTATTTTTGAGTTCAAACTCGATTGTGAACTCACCTAATTTAGTAAACAAACTCGCCTACATGGGAGGGTTCACCTTTAGTCGTAGGCAAATTGAGCAGTTACCAGCTAGTTTCGTACTTGTAAATATGTAAACAGTACATCTACCATTTTGGATCTTGGCTGGCTACTTATCCTGGAGCTAAGGGACTACTCACTACTAAAGAGTATTTTTAAAGCACTGTATTCTGATAACTGGCCCTCCCATTTAAAATTGCAAGTTGTTAAAACCGTTAGGCATCTCCACTCCAGTGTTGCCCCAAGGCTTTATGTTCCATCTGTACAAGGCACCTTTCAGCATACAGCAGCCATGATTTTTTATGAATTGCCAGCAAATATAAGGAATTGCACAGATTTTAAAGAACACTGCAGGCTCTGCAAGGTATTCTTAAAAGCATGCGCTTTGTCTTCCTTGTAAAGACAAAGAAACAACCAACCACCACCACCAACCAATACATTCTACATATTTACTTTCATGTACAGTTTTAATTACAATTTAGTTAGTCATTATAATTTAGTTTTAATATTAAATATTAGTATCGTAGGGCTTCACAAATGAAGAGCCACACCTTTTATGTGGATAAACTGTGAATATACTGTTATTATTAATTATTTACCAAAATATATTTTTTTGTTACTCTCAGCCATGAGAATTTTGTGTCAAATCAAATGATATACCCTAGTTGATATTGATCTTCCTTCTCATGACCAATCTGTTTTTAAATGCACTGACCTTGAAGGGAAAAAATTCCTTTCTGGTCATCCATAGATGCAAAGGGTTTACACCTTTATGGTGTTGTTTGCTTAAACTATCAAAAATATTTTACCAAATCAATCTTTTACTAACCTGGTGCAAGACTTGTGGCAATTTGTGCCTGGTATATGGCTCCTTGACTACTGTCATAATTTTTTGACAGGATCACAATGAACTTTTTACATCTTTGCTCAATTGCCAAAGCGGTTGTTTCAAGATGAGAACCAACTGGTAAAAAGTCCCGCACAGGCAAACACAGGTGTAGATTACGATTTTTATTTTCCATTTTCTTGACAAGGTTGTCAACAAAAGCTTTGTCTTCCTCAGCAAAGCAGACAAATGCATGATAAGACTTCCGAACTATGAAAATACAAAACACCACATTATTACCTAGCTACAACTAAACTGGAATGATACATGGAAATTACCCTACTAAGTGACTTATATTGCCTCTTCAAATTCTCCATGTGTTTCACAAAGAAATACAAAACAATATGAAATGGTAATCTAGCACTACATCACAGGAGGCTTTGGGCTTTTTTTTCCATGCATAATGTGTCTTGCTTGTTGCATTAACAGGGAAGAATTCAGACCAGCAAGGATTGAGTAACATCAACTGATGTGAGGATCACACTGGTTACGCACCTTGAAGATGATAACATCTACACTGCAACATTTCACAAGCCGAGATAATTACAAAAATTCACAACTTTATATGTAGTCTCTATTTGTGGGTAGTGCATCATTATGCTAAGTGTCTTGTCATGTCTGATTACAATAAAATACAATCTCTTCCATAAATTTTTTTGTTTACAAAACATAATAAAAGAAATTGCACTATGTTCAAAGATATGTCACAAAGATCATTGTCTAATTGTTGTTGGAAACTGTACTTTACATTTATTAATCTTAAACATAAGTGATTTCCTTTATCTAATACATAACCAAACCGCATGTATGCAGCACGTGTCTTATCGCCCCATATATGGTGCTGTTCCACGTGCTTACAAGGAGACGTGGTGTGTTTTCGTGAGAGTTGTGAGAGGGAGTTAACTGGAGTGTAAGAGCAAAATCGAACCAAGAAAATAAATCGTGAGTACGCTAGCTTTTGCACGTTTTCAACATTGTTACTAATTTTAGTATGGTACTCTGTCCTCAATTTTTAATTTTGTACCATAAACATAAAATTTCTTGCCTCTGACACTACACAACAATAATCTTTAAATTTACCTGTCCTTTGTACAACATTGTTATCTACAAAACAAGACAAGAGACAAAAATGTAGTGTGCCAAGAACATATCAAAGTTTTCACTGACGACTTTACTGATACGAATCAATAAAATGCTCTTTGCCATTGTATGTAAGTGTAGAATATCACAAATTCAAGCCTTGGGAGACAATGGATTGTGCACACTAATCATGCAACAGTGGCTCTTGACTTAGGTAAAATGACATCATCTACTAAAAAATCACCCTAAAACTTATTTGCATAAAAAGTGTCATAAACCCCTGCTACTTTCTGCACGTTTACATATAGGGATTTCCTGAGATTTCATCAGTTTGGGAATACTTTCTTTTACAACACAATGTACTTCCCCATCTTGAAAGCTAGGCTTGGGGTGAAATCCCAACATAACACGCATAAAGCCTATTTATTGAAATAGATACATACTGGTCCTCTGCTCTCTTTCTTTTACCTCCCTTGGAAAAGGTGTTGAATCTGAAAATACAGGAGTGAGCTGAATCAAAAACAGTGGATAGATGATCAGAAAAGTGATTCTTTTGTAAAAAGGAAACCAACTGATAAAATAATTAGACATGCAATTTTTTTTTGGTAGCTTAACTCTGGCATTTTACTTTTTCTCTCAAGAACAAGAGCCAAAAATTTGCTTTCTTTAGCAAAGAGTTACCAAACAGTCTATGATCCGTCTGCTCTACTGCAACACAAATTCAGTAGGTGCTGCTACAGAAACATGCCCTATAGCAAAGACGAGCAAACTTTTTCTAGAAAAATTTCACTCACAATTTGAAATTTGAATGTCAATTACATGACTGCAGGACAAGATTTAATAATAAACAGGATTATCCCTGACCATAGTCCTTTACTATCCAACTGCACAATGTAGAGTACAAATAACATGTGAATCGAGTACATATATCACACCATATTTGTAATTCAGAAAACTGTAAACAAACATTGGTGAAATTCGCCCACACTGAAATAACAATTTGGTGTGTTGGATAATAATTAAATCTCTTATCAAACATTTTGCTTTGTAGTATCGCTGAGTATTTTTACTCGCTGTTTATATTTTGACTTGCCCTTCAGGCTCATCAAAAAATGGCACAACTCGTAAAAATACTTAGCGATACTATATAACAAAATATTTAATAAGATATATGTATTTTACATTGTAAATAATCATTTTAGCATTTTAAAATCATGCACAGATGTTACCTCTTGAACATATTTTCCCTTAGTTATATTACATTTTTTAATTAATAAATGACTAACAGACTACCATGAGGATAAATTCAGCAGTAGTTGGAGATGTAATAAGTTTTGGTGATGCTCATTCACACTTGCAATTTCCCGTGATAAGTCAAGTAATCACAGGGCAAACAGAAGGTGAAATAAAGACTAGAAATTTCCAACCATTTGGAACCAACAGCAAATTCAATCCACACGTGATGCCAGGTAAGGGAATCGAACCCAGCCACAGTGATTATCACTATTTATTATTTTATTATTAGACCTTTAAACTTCATAAGTTGTACTGACATCTACTTAATTATTATAATTAATCTAATTATCATTAATCTAATCTTCACGTTTTACAAGATATCAACATCAATTGGTTGTCAAGCAAACTTTCATGTTCATGAAGACCATTCACACCTGCAAATAGCAGGAGCTAGTCGAGGCAGGCGGGAATTAAAGGTATAGCAGTAGTGATAAATTACAAGCAAATAATAATAAGTGATGGGAGGTGAGTGCTCTCTACCATAACATCGCCATCCCCAGCATAGTGTATGCTGTTTAATATCTAACATTTAATGGGTTGCAATTGCATCAAAAGCAAATGATGTCCTGCATAACAATTTCATTCCCTTTTTAAAAAAAGAGGTTATCCTACCTATGTATGGCTGAAGGTCCTGTACCACATCTGGTCTGTCTATTTGTTGTAAAAGTGATAACAGTTCAGCAATTGTTCTCCCCTCTTTATCATATCTTGTCATCAATTCTTTCACAGGTTCACGTAAACTTTCAAGATACTTAATCTCTTCATTCGTGTATCCCATTTTAGCAGCCAACAGCCGGTAGTCATTTCCTAGTGCACATGCAGGTCGCAATAGAATGATCAGCTTTTCATGACCTTGTGTACATAAATCTTTAAGGAGCTTTTCCTCAGAGGCTGGGGGTGAAACATCACCACCTTCATGATCCCCATCTAAAGGAAGAGCTACAGTACCAGAGAGTGGAATGTCAGAGGGAAGACCATTACTGCTGTTCAGCATTGTATCACCATCTGAGGAAACATCATCACCTCTTTCAGGTAGAACACCAATATCTGCAGGTAACATGAAATAATCTGATTGTGGAACTTCATAGGTGAGCAGAGCAGTGTTCACTGCAGACAAACACACCTAAAATGCTTTCCTGCTTGGAAGCTACAGTAACTAAACTGTTCAATAAACTGATGGGAAATACTAAGAGTACACAGAACTTTGGACTACAAGTAATCACTTGTCTCAAACTTGGAGACATTTGAGTTCGAGTGATCAATCACAGGTACTGATAAATAACCTTGATAGCTACAAAATCTCTGTAAACTTGTATGTAAATTGATGCAACATACAAAGAGTGCAAAGAACCTTGATGACCAATTGCCTAATTCAAAATCTGGACCCAACTGTTAAAAGGATGGATAAATCCCTATCTGGAAAATAAGTTTCAACAAAACATACTACACTGTCCACTGGATAGAATCATCCACCCTTAAAACAAATGGGACCTGGTGAACACTATATCAAGTTTGAGAGATGATTTGTACAGTAGGTACTCCTAAATAATACAACCTATGAGTGAAGCAGACAGACAAAGCACATTTCTCCACAAATATAGGGACTACAAAGAATGATATTTCAATATGACTTCAACAACTATTTAGAAGTTCACTAACCTAAAACACTGAAACCAACTGTGGGGCCTGCCTCACCTGATACCTTACTCTTGCTTCTCTTTTCATCCGATTGTCGTCCTCGCGTGAAAAATTTCTTTACCACAACTTTGATTCTTTTGCACCGATGCTTTGCCTTGGTCTGTTCCATTCTAAAATTTTAAAATGTGAAACATTGAAGGTGCAATACAAGGGTGTAATTTGGGAGGGGTCTGGATGCCTGATTCTACATTTGTCACTTATCATCCATGATTTCTTTTACTCTTGAATGACTAGAAAAGAGCATCTCAAGATATATAGGAGCTTTAATGCATCTACATGGCTATTTTGTGGACCTGTTCCTAATTGTTCATTAAAAAATGGTCAGTTAAGACACAGCAGAGGCCATTTTGGATCCTATGATATATAATAACACGGTTGCAATTATTTTCATCAAACTAGTCCCTTTGTTCGTNAGGCGCATTTCCCGCGAAGAAGTTGGTCACGTCCGCAACACAACATTTTTGTTAATAAATCCATGGTAACAAGTAATTTCTATAATATCTTTTCAGATTTATGAAGCACAGTTACTATTGCATTTAGTTAGTATATGCAGTTTTTTTAAAAGGTTTTCAATTCACAGGAAATTTGAGGTAACCAAAAGCAATTCAAATCAATGGTTGTTTTAGGAGTCACATCCGCAACACACTTTGAAAAATTATTTTCTCTGGATCTCTAAGAGATAGTCAAAATGTTTTCTGGCAAAATAAAAGGTACTTCACGGGTAATTTTATGACATGACTAATTTCAATTCAAATAGAGTGGATCTGGCTTTAGGAGACATTTAATACCCAAATTTTGCCTCTAAATGTCACGTCCGCAATGTGGAATTGACCAATATCACACTCATTATCAACTAGTCTTTAGGAAATTTAAAAAAAGCCATATCTGAATAAACCTGACAATAAAACTTGAATCTGGAGTAAAAATTAAGGTTGACTCCATAATAACAAACAAACGGCTATTCAAAGCATGCTTAATTCCTGTTGACTGTCGGCTTTCGACCTTTCCAGTAACGTTGAAATTCAGTTGTACAAGATGAAATTAAGTACTGTTTAACATTAACACACACTGAAGTAGAAGCTGGTTAAAATCTAAGCCTTCAAGATGATAATTGTTGCTACAGAGTCTAACATAATTCTAAAACTTTACATAACAAGGTTAATTATATTAGACGACATCTCCGACTGGCACTGTTATTTGGCCGAACAACGCAAAAACATTTAGGTTTCGAAAACCATGCACTGTCCACTGAACTTTCTCCTCAATAAAACATTCGAGCGTTTACTCCAGAAAAGTCTTTGCTGAAGTCGTAACCCAAACTGTTCGTTCCTGTTTCGAAGTTTTGAATTCATGTTGTAAGCTTCACTGCGACAAGCAAAAAGACAGGCAGTTTGAAATCCAGACATAATAAATCTCTATTGTTTCCAATATGTAAGCTAAATCTGAGTCATAAATGGTGTTTTGATACAAAATGCTACTCTTTCATGGGTTTTTGGCCGCGTTTACTAAGAGAGGATGTTTCTAAAACAACCAAACTTCCGTTCATCCGAGACCTCAGTCCTCAAGAGTAGACAGCGCAAAACAGTAATGAATTAAAACAAGGATGAAAGGCGAGGAAACAACATGGCCGTCTTTTACCTATCCAGTGAGATTGTTTAGCTGTCTGAGAGAGTTCTTTGACTGTATTTAGCCATACTAACTTACCTGAAGGCGGTGGATGCCGCAAACCAAAAGAACTTTGGCACTACACCGTGCAGAGTTATACAAAACACATGTGAGTAAACATTCTAAACATCACGACTTTCTCGTCACGTGTTAACCGCAATTGCGTCAAAGAGGAAATAGTCAACTTCCCTGTTCGGCATAACATAACACAGGGTGAAGAGCAGAGAGGCATTTTGTCTGCCCATGCGCGAGTGGAATTGGTTTGTCGCCTTCGGCGCTATTTGTAGAGTTGTCGACGCGTTTCTGCGAGGTTTCACTGGACGATCGACACCTTTTTGTAATATTTTGTGAATATGGATGAAGGTATATGACAAGTTCGCCAACATTTCTCACTCTGTGGATACTCATGGTGTTTGCTGGCTCTTCGGTTGAGGATATTTTAATGATCAAAGTGCGAACAAAACGCGAAAAAAGCCCGAAAACTTGAAGTTTGAGATTTGATTTACTGAAGATCAATATGTACACATGAGACAACAAACCTTGAAGGTTAGTCTTAAGATGTTGATGTTTTATTTTTGTGAATCACAAAGTTGTCTGTGGAGACGATCNTGCGTAAGCGCCAGTTGCTCGACATACCTGCGTGGCCCGTGCGACGAAATAGCTTCACGGGATTGGAAAAGTTTCAGTGACAGCAAATTATACAAAAAAATCTTGAAAGATTTAGGCTTACATCTCATCTAACGTTTAAAGCGACATATCAATGCTTGCAACCATTATGTTTTATACGAACCTCGCAAACTTTTAAACTCGTTCTCTTGTGATACCTGCGAAAGTATTCAGTATAATTTCCGGTAAGATTTCGCGGACAATCTGATCGATTTCTCTTACATTGTGTGCTGAGACTGAAACTTTTCACCTCGGGCAAAGCTTCGTCGCACGGCCCAAACAAACATAGCGAGCAACAGAGCTTGTTGAATATGTGCGTGTTAAAACACACGAAAGGACTCCAAACGACACTTCACTCTGATTGGGCAGAAAAACACAAAGATTTTCTGGCACCAATCAGATGCCAGAACGACTGCGGGCGTTTGGAACTAGTCTTGTAAGAGAATGTCCCCAGGGGCTCTTCTGCCCTTAACTTGAAATCGACTCACTGCCCCTGGGTCTCCGAGGATGTGGATAACATAGGGTGAAGTAGACCCGAATGATATATCATTTTCCGATCATCGTAGTGACGTCATCTCCCGACCACACTGTAAACTTCGGAAATTAACATGGCGACGTAAGCGTGAAACCAGTAGTTTGTGTTGCGGACGATTGCAGGCTTCAAGCTTAAACTAGGCCACGCATCTTTTTAGTGTACGGAGTTGCAGACTAATAAGCAACTCGCTGGACAAGCAGAAGAATGTTTCCAGACCTATTTACTTAATTGAAGGACTCATGCTATCTCACCCGATGTTACTTTTCAGTACAACAGGACAATAAAGGGTGAGGATTATTCGTAATGATGTCTGAAGCAATACGATAAAACTAAGCCATACTTTTTTTTACGTTGAAAGAAGGTGTTAGTAGTGAAGTCCTTAAAAGTAACATATTAAAAGGTAGCAACTTTGAGCGAAGTCACATTTATTCATGATTATGTGCTTGGGCTATATGTGTACTTTAAAATCAACTACTATCCCATCGAAGGCAAACATCAGAACCAATAAAAAATAGAATTGCGAGTGTTGCAAGTATCTTTGAGGTTTACTGTTTTACGCCGTACGAAAAGCCAGCTATATATATATAAAAAGGCTATAAATAAAGAAGAGTAACCTTCCCATCCCCTCACCCCTTAGTCTTGATGGTTTCGCCAGTTAAACTTTAATAGCGCTTTATACTATTACTAAAAATAGATTTTGTTGCATGATAGCCTATGAGACCCCCCACACAGACTCAGACAAACAGGAAATGTGTGAGCGAGAGTTGTAAAATTGCATGACGAGCTTTATGCGACTTTGAAATTCACAGCTGGGAATGGGTTTTAATTTCCGGGGTAGTCAAGAAAATCGAATTAGCAAAATTACAGATCTGTCATGACTCCACAGTTTGCGGTGGATGAAGGTGCTAAGTATATCTTGAGTGCGCTGTACAAATGAAAACCAGATCATGTATCCATAAATGGTTTGTTGTCGACTCTAATTACACTTAATATATAACAAAGTGCTTCGTCGCGCGTAATAAAAAAATTGGCGCGAACGAGATATGGCGGCGAAGCTANAACTCACTGCAGATTGAAAAAGATACAAAACATGAAAGATCAAAAGCATCAAAACGATTGAGAGATGATATGGCAAAAGCAAATGTGAGGTCTGAGCAGAGAATTTACATAGAGTTTCCTACTGAGACTGACCATGCACATCATCTTATGGGAGAGGTAAGATGAAAGAGGGTGAGGGTATGAAGTCCACCTCCAACTGCCAGTACCAATCAATGTTTGGTTAATCAGAAAAAAAAAATTATGCTTTCTTTCCAGTATTTAATAAGGTGTCTTGTTGGAGCTATGACACTTCTCTCTGTTTTAACTTAAGCAGAACATGCTTTAAGAGAAATTAATATCTTAACACATATTATTCTCATTTCATTCCAGGGAAGCAGCCTATCTCAGCCTGTGGATGACAGGATCATCAGACAAATTGAAAAGCTTGTCAATGAGGGAGTGAAAGGCACCCATGAAATGCGGACACACCTGACTGTATACATAAAAAATGAAATATTAGCAGAGGATGAAATCCAACCATCTCCCTCAAACCGTAGGTTTTATCCTAAGCTGAGCGATATAAGGAGCCACATGTATTGAGCTACCATAAAGCAAATATTCTCAAAAATTGATCAAGACAATGTGGCAGAAAAAGTTATCCAGTGGAAAGCATCTAGCCCGGAGGACTTCATCTACTTCCAGCCGTGTGGAGATGTCTCTTCAGCCACAACAGATGGAGAAGACCACACTACAGAACAGGATCCCAGCACCCTTCTGTTTGTCCATCAAAGTGCCTGGCAGCACAGACTCCTGAAAAGATATAGCAACATGTGTCTACTGGATGCCACCTACAAAACTACCCATTATGCTTTACCTCTGTTTTTCCTTGTGGTACACACAAATGGTGACTACCAGGTAGTTGGATCATTTGTGGTGCAATTCAAACAGTATTTTGATAAAAATCAAACTGGGCTTAGTTGTCATTTGCTTTTGCAAATGCAAAACCTGATTGAAGTGTGGATGATGAAAGGTAGATATCTAAAATTAATTTCCGAAGTTTAAAGTGCGGTCGGGAGATGACGTCACTAGGGTGATCGGAAAATGCTAATCATTCGGGTCTATTTCACCTTATGTTATCTAATGCCAACCACTAATTTAAATGAGCTGCCATTTTTAGCTGTTTTGCTGTTTTGACCGACAAGCTGATTTTTTCACATACTTTGATTGGATCGTAATCTATTGAAGGACAGATGCATAAATGACATCACCAACAACAACAGTTTGCTTTCTTTTCTATCAAATTGTGTCTTTCAAAAAATTAGATTCCGTATGGCAATAGGTTTGTTCCATAGTAGATCACAGGTGTCAAAATGTTGTAATAACAAGAAAGTGGCATACAAGGCATAGCACTTTCTGAATCTTACCACATTTTGACGCCTTTACTGATCTGTAAGCAAACAGATGCATGGCAACATGGGATCTATTCTTAATTTACTGAATGGACACATTTCTTGGCTTTTTCACACCAAGACAAGTTCAACCCAGATTCTTCTGGCTGGATGAGTTTGCACCACATAGAGGGGGAAGTTGTTTTAGTAAATTTTATGAAAATGTTCTGGTACCTTCAAAGTGCATTGAAACTTTGTGAGGGGATCCAGTAAATGTAAAAAGAAATAATTATTTTGTGATATTGCTGTCTCGCCATTTAATGGTCTTGCTAAATGTGCTTAAAATTAATGTTACAACTCAGCATTAGGAAATTAAAGAAAGAGACCCTGAGGGAAGGGTAATCACAACCTTAATAGTTACAGATTCAGATTCTACACCAAACAGAGATAAAATGAAACAAAATTATTTCAAATGTTGAAAATCCAGTTTGTAAAATAACTACAAATTAATGTCCAAATTAATGCAGTGAAATCTTATTTTACAATTCTTTTTTGATTTCACCATACTCAGCCATAACAGTTGAACCTGGGATAAAATTGAACAACACCTTGTAAAAGTATACATCCTGATTTCTAACTTAACCTGGTTTCTGTAATAAGTGCAATCAGGAATTTAGCAGAAACTTCAAATCAAATTATTATTAATAGGATCTGTTGTGTTTTACAAGGATTTCAAAGCCTGAGTTAAGCCATAATTGCCCATATGTAAAATTATGATAATCTTTTGCATGTATCAACTGCTGACACTTGTCAACTGCTGATCACTTGTCTTTTGTGCCACTCTGTCAGGATGATGCATCAGTGGCAAAGTTATCACAATTCTCCATCCGCGGTTGGAAATCTAATATGGAACATTTGCCACCAGCTGGTTTATTTAAGGCTTACTGAGTTTATAGAATAAACAAATAAATACATGGTTGCTTGTATAGGTATGGAATTTCTCTACTTTTGTTCAACTCAGAGAGAAATTCTCTACATGTGCATGCTTACATTATTATCTCTACATCCACTTGCACTAACTTTCACTCCTTTGGTGGGACTCTGACTCTAAGCCACTACAACCCAACAGCACCCTTACATAAAATATACATAAAAAATATACATGATGTACAAAAAGGTAATGTCTTCAAGAATCAATAAAACATCTACAGTTACCTTAAGGAGGTCTTTTAATTACCCCATCAGAATAAGAAAGATGGCAAATTTTGAGCTTGCTAAAGAAATATAGAAACACCTCTTTTAGTCTGAGGTGTGGGAAATTTCTGATATTGTATTTTCTCTGAAAAAGATTAGATACTCCGACTGAAAAATCTGACAGTATTGACTCAAATAATAATAATAATAATAACTTTTATTTATATAGCACTTATATCCAGCTCATAGCGCTTTAGAACACTGTGTGGGGGACTTAACCAGACTGCTACACAGTTAACAATCAATTAAAGGCAAATCTAACAGATGCCCCCTCCCCCCCAATTCCCAGTAAACAGGCCAGACCACATCACAGTAATCTCGTGAGTGGGTTCTTTGACGTCCCCTACCTAACCAAATGAACTAATTAATAGATGCAGGAGATGGGACCTACGGTTTATTTGTCCTTATTCAAGAAGAATAGAAAGGTAGCACATTCTCCTCAGTTATTTTAGGACCTTGAGTGTTGGTCTGGTGGGGCTCGAACCCTCAACCTCCCGCAAAACAGTTCGGTGCTCAACAAATTGAGCTAACCGCGAGGTGGTTAGCTCAATTGGTTGAGCTCAATAAAGGGGGTAAGTATGTAACAGCCTCTGAAAAGAGTTTCCCAAGCTGATGTTTTGAACGCTTGCCCATTGTCAAAGCAACTGATTATCAACTCAATTGATAGAACCAAATCATTTTGACTCAAAGAAACTTGGCAGGTTTAGTTGCATGGTAAACTTATCATTAGTAGTTAACTACAACTGACCGTTGGGCAATCCCTTCACAATTATTGTGAAGTTATTTACAAATAACATCAGCTAAGTAACAAATTGCTAAGATATCATACTATAAAACTATCTGCACTTTTATTAAGCTAGATAAGATAAAATACATTGTCTCAAATTTTTATTATTAACTCCTGATGTTGCCACCAAGTAGTTTTCCTCTTGTGGGCTTGGCAGTCTTAAGAGTAATAACTGATATAAGGTGAAGAGAAAAGCCAGTAATTACAGTTTCATAAGACAATTGACTCATCAAATTTCCCTGTTGTTTGCACATCCATTGCTACAACCAAGTGACATGGTCAACAAATTCCAGAAATGCTGTCTTGCTTCTTTCTTTGTGTAGTCCAAGTGTGTGATGAACTGTAAAGTTGTTGGTATTTTACAAGGTTTGTACACAATTGGTATCAGATTGGTGTGCCTGACATCTGAGAAAAGTGCACGTTATCAGCACAACAATTTCACAACAAGCAGAGAATTTTAACAGAACTATTACATGGAATCTATTAGCTCTCCAGTAATAGCATTCCCTAAGGTAAACAAAAACAACAACGACACAGAAACACACTTAGAAAACATTCTCAGCTACTCTATTTGCTACTTACGGTATTTTGTAATAGATTGTGTGTAAAGTGAGAAGCCTAGCAGTGCACGGTTGTGAACAAAATAAAATAAAAACATGAGCTCGTTTTATTTTGGTGCTACTTGTAGTTTTATACTAAAACAGTTAGATTATTTGAACCCAATTTTCATGCGATGGCTTTTCACCCCTTGGAGTGACTAGTATCTAACTTTCCCCCACAATATCACCCCTGAATCACACAATAAGGTCATGCAAATAAAAGAAATGATCACTGACTAGAGAAGCTCTGGATTTTTAAACAAATTCTCCTTGTCAGCACCATAGGAAATGTATGGGGAGCAGTATGGAGAATATGTATACTGATGAACCTTTCACACCCCAACCTTGGTGTGCATGTTCCCCATACTGTTCTCTATGCATTTCGACAAGAAGAAGAATTCTTCTAACAATCAAGAGCTTCTTTATTAGTTAGCGATCATTTCCTTTATTCTCATTACCTTAACATTTGATACAGGGGTGATATTGTAAGGAGAAATTAGATGCTAGTCATTCGTAGGGGTCAAAGAGTTGAGGAACATGGGGGAGGGGGTCAGGAGAAATCAGATGCTAGTCACTCTTAGGGGTGAAGGAGTTGAGGAACATGGGGGGAGGGGGTCAGGAGAAATTAGATGCTAGTCACTCATAGGGGTCAAAGAGTTGAGGAACAAGGGGGGAGGGGGTCAGGAGAAATTAGATGCTAGTCACTCGTAGGGTAGGGGTCAAATAGTTGAGGAACATGGGGGAGGGGGTCAGGAGAAATTAGATGCTAGTCACTTGTAGGGGTCAAAGAGTTGAGGAACAAGGGGGAGGGGGTCAGGAGAAATAAGATGCAAGTCACTTGTAGGGTGGGGGTCAAAGAGTTGAGGAATATGGGGGGAGGGGGTCAGGAAAAATTAGATGCTAGTCACTCGTAGGGGTCAAAGAGTTGAGGAACATGGGGGGAGGGGGTCAGGAGAAATTAGATGCTAGTCACTCGTATGGGTTACAGGGTTAATAGAACACCAAATCCTCTTAACTAATTGACAAAAAAATAAAAATAATAAAAGGCACATGGAAGAAAAAGTCACTCATCTGATCTTCAATTGTTAAATACAATTTCATTTCAAGAAAAAATTAAACCTTTGACTCCAGTGAGTGACAAGGAAAGAATTTCTCCTTGGGAATAAACAAAAATATAAATAAGGGGATTACTGGTTGATCAAATACCAAATTCCCAGAACTATCATCATAAGAATTGTATAACAGATAGTAAGGTAAATTATCAATGAGAATTTTGGATTAAAATGGTTAAGAAGTCTCACAAGAACCACAAACCTGCTGACAAGCTTAGTGCAACATTGGCCTGGAAATCAGCTTTTTCACATCTGTTAAAGTTCTCTGACAAGATAAGCAAGACTTTTCTACAGTATTTCTCGATGGCCTCGGCTGCAGTTTCCATAGGATCATTGCCACACAAAAAATCCCGGTAATCAATACAAACTTTTAAATTATAAGGTGGTGCCTCCAGTTTCTTGACCAGTTCATCAGCAAATGGTCTGTCAGGTTGGGCATATGCGATAAATACATCGTATCTGTCAGACACTGACAAAAATAAACCCATTAGTAATTATAGCAATGGGGTTCATGATTCATTGCACAAATATAACTACAATATGCTGCGAGGTGAACTGAGAAAAGCTGCCAGAGAGACAACTTCCCTCTCCTAAATTACCTGGCTCTATTTAATCGCTTTCACCATACTTACAATACTAAAAGGACTAAAATATACATATGAACAAGACACAGAAGAGAACGGAGGACAAGGGTGCGGGACACACAACAGAGCGAGGCTCTAACATTTTGTTGGAGAAAGAAGTTTAATCTAACTACCTGCCTAACAAGATGTGTGCAACAACGACAAAAACAACAAGTATCAGTTTTCTTGTACTTACTGGTTTTGGGTTTTTCTGCTGGAAAAAAAAAAAAGAAGACTTCATATTAATCGACTATGATGGTTTCATGAACCATCAATTTTTAGTTGACCCTTTACACCCTAACATCATGCATATTCTCCACACTGTTCTCTATACATTTTCTACAGTGCTGACAAAGAGAATTTATTTAACAATCAGGAGCTTTTCGAGTTCTTGATCGTTTTCTTTATTCTCAAGGCCTTAATGTGTGATTCAAGAGAGATAATGTAAGGAGAATTTGTATTCTTGTCCCTCTTGGTGGTTAAAGGGTTAATTAGAAGATCAGTGCCTGAGAGAAATTGATAACAGCGAGCTAAGAATTTTAGGTAACTTTTTAAGATATGGATTTGAAGTTAAGTGCTTTTGCTTTGCAAGAGTTTGGTTTTGAGTATCAATACATTTTTGAAATGATTTCTTTCTCTCTATCTACCTTGTTCCTTGCTCAGCTAAAAGGGTTAAGCTAAAAGCCATGAGTTTTAGTATTGAAGAAAAAAAATTTTTATCAGAGAATATGTTTTAATGTAAATATAAATTTCATCCGTGTTCCTCTTTAATTTCCAAGTGTATTCTTTTCATTTGACATCCAGTACTGAGGGCTATACTCAAACAGATAAGAAATCAATGAACTGAAATATCTTGATAAACAAATGAACATAAAGAATTATACCAGCTTGTCCTTGCTTCATCTCCAATTCCAACCTTATTTTTTCCTCTCGCTCTTCTGGAGTAGGTGTCTCCTCTATCCAAAACACAAACAAACAAACAAAATTGATTACAGTCACAAGCAATTATTCTTGAGGAGAATTAACAAGTAGAAACCAAAACATTTCTTACTCCATAGTTACAGATTATAACACAAATGGATTTTGAGATCCCAAGGAGAAATCAAGCCACTTGAAAATTGTCTGAATATGCTAAATATCTGACCGTGGAAGTCACTGTTCTGGTTTCAGAGCCAGACAGAAGTACCCAGTCAATAAACATCTTATTTTTGACCAATAAGTGACAAAAATTTTGAAATTACACTTGAACTAAATATTATGCAATCACATTCATTTGAGGGGCAAATGCTGGACAACTATACAAGAATCCACAGTAAAACTTTTCCTCCATTGCAAATTGCACATTATTTTTCATTTCCCTTTTATTCCGTGCCAATATCCACAATTAGAATTCACATTCTATAAGAAAATACAACAGAACTGTATGAGCGCATGACAAAATGACTTTTTGCACACTTGCTCACATCTGCCTATGTTGCCCTTCACACTTCACCTTTCTTTATAGTTTTTTGGAGGATTGCGTGAGGTAGGCTATATAGGTCACTAGTTAACCCTTTTATTACATCCATTTTGAAATCGCTGGTGATCCCTGTAATCTGATTGGCTCTAATTGGAGCGATTTATTCACAAATCGAAGCATTTTTTGCTCTAAATTGCATCATTTTACACTTGATTGAGTTTTTGACACATGATGTCAAAGTCTTTCTGTTTTGCATACAAAATAAGATGTAAAAGCATTTCTGGTTCCACTTTTTATTTAAAAAGCGGCTCAGTTCTACATCAATAAAATATTTGAATTGACCAAGACCTGTATTTGGGCTATTTCAAAATGGATGTAATAAAGTGGTAATTGGACCTCGTGTTGTGCAATTTTGGTGTGAAATCATACTTGTGATTTCAAATCAAACTCGCACTGCGCGCTTGTTTGATTTTGAAAGCACACGTATGATTTCAGACCAAACTGCACTCTACTCGGTTCAATTACCATGATTAATTCCTAAGAATGATTGTTAATTCTCCCTTCTGGCTCCTACACATTTCCTTGTCAATCAGCTATGAGAATTTGGTGTTAGATCAAGACAACAACTTCCACCCGATAAGTTTGAGTATTCTCATCATGTTTGCCTGACCATACTACAGCACAGGGTTTGATAGTCCCAGGCATGATAGACTTTCAAAAGAATTCGGGGGATACTCCTTCATTTAGCCTTAACAGGTTAGTGCACGTGCAGTGCAACAGGATGTGGTTTTATAGGGGTTTGATTGGCCCTTTCTGAACCAGAAGCGTGTAATAAGGCATCATACTGGTGATGTATAGATTCAATAATTTACTGATATGTTCTAGAAGCTTGCAACTGCTAACAAACACAATACATTTGAGGGGTTCGGAAGGAGTTCCATATAACCCCATACATCAATTATGCATTCATTTCATAAAGACTAAATATAAAGGTTTCTTTGCAACATTCTATGCATAATAAATGCATGGGGGTATATGGAACTCTTGCTGAGGGGTTCATTGCATTCATATAAATTTTGCATGTTTCTCATGGGTTGTAAGGATTTTGATCAATGTCACAAGGTTGCAGTATTCAGATTGCAGTGTAATTAAGGGAAGTGATAAATCTGTAGCCCGATCAATTTCACTTTCTGCATCAAATTTAGTAGATGACATTTTCTGTACACTTCGAAACGTCGAAGACGCCTCTCGAGTTGCTTGCTCAGATTGTAAAGTAACTCGCTCAAGTAAAGACTGTTTTGATTATAAGTTTAACATAGAGACACAGAAATCAATGGAATTGATGTATATCGGAACGGTAATTGTAACCATCGTTCGAAAGTTAAAGTGTGTTTGAGGGTGAGATAAACTTAAATGACAAAAACTGAAATAGCATAGGTCGTTGCTTATATATGGCGCTCCGTGGTTGCTTGACTAAATATAACACATACTAACAAATGGTATATCGAAGCGATTCACTTAAATCAAAGTACAGTTCAAGATGTTCTTATGTTTTCTTACTGATTCATAGGGTCTCCCGCTTTAGCCTTACGTACCAACGTATTTTTCAAGGTCTGTTTTCAAATCGAACCTCTCCATTTCTTCCAAAAACGTCAACAACTCTGAGATGGGCTTTCCCTTGCTCTCGTAATCAGAAATCAACTCTTTCACAGGATTATTCAAACATTCGTAGTACAGGATCGTTTCCTGCGAGTAACCCATCTTGTCAGCCAAAGTCTTCCAATCTCTTCCAAGTGCTGGCGGTAGCAGAAGCTTGTAAATTTGAAAATGCGCTTCGTAACTCAAATCTTTTACCAACTTTTCACCGCTCATGATTCCAGTCAGCGGAGGATAGTCATTCCATCGGCAGCTCGCTTAAGTAGCAATGGCGCCTCGCGGGTCGGAGATAAGTTGGAAAATATCACGCGCGATTACGCACTTCGCGTGGGGTCTGCACGTGGGCTTTTTTTTCACTTCCTCTTCCGCCACTCTTTTGGAGAGGACTTCCTCAAACACAGGCAGCCCAAGCTCACTGCTAGAAAAGCGGACGTGACTCTTAACATGTTGCGCAACGTTTTATATTTACAAAGGTTTGTATGGAATGTTATCGGTTTGCCTTAAAAGAGAGAAAAAAATGTCTTGTTTTGAAATAAAATGGGCTTACCTTATTGCTTTGTTGTTTTCTTTGTTGATTCCGAGCGTCTCAGGCCATTTTGAAGAGTTTTCGGCGAGTTAGCGCTATGTTGGTGTTCGACGTGGTCTTTCTTTTAGCAGTTGAACACCAACATAGCGCTAACTCGCCGAAGACGCTTCAAATTATTGTTGTTCTTATCAGTAAGCGTTTGAAATTCTAGTCGGTTTTTAGTAAAATGATTTATTTAGTCGTTCTCGTTCATATATGTATAGTTGCAATATTCTATCGATTATATTAAGAAATCATCTTTTCACAATGGTAAAGGAAATAGAATTTCATAAAAAACAGGAAACACTATAAGTGAAAGGGATAAGAAGTATAATGATTAGATGTTATAATATCTGACTAAGAGTTAAAGGACTGGAATTTTTTCTTGAGATAATTTCAATTCTATTCTTAGATTTCAACTTGAATTTCGTTTCAAAAATCGGTTGCGTCTAATCCCAATGATATATCAATTTGTATGACGTAACTGAGTAGCTAACAAATATATTGTTACTGGTGTTGTTGTTGTTGTTGTAGTCCTGTTTTTGTTGTTGTTTCTCCCTAGCCCAGCTTGGGAATACCCTTACCCAGGAAGATAAATGCCCAATAGCCATGTTGGTTGAAGACTGCGTTCGTTTGTTGGTTGAAGACTGCGTTCGTTTGTTGGTATAACTAAGGGAATAGGTGGTGTTTACCATTTAAAAAGGGACGCTTCGATTACTATCAGCCTTTTAAATGAGCCCTAAAATACAAGCTTTCTACGTCTATCTTTTCTTAATACTTTATTGCTTAATGTATCTTAAAGGAAACAAGTTCGTTTGATACGACTATCTGTGGCCCTGTTTCTCTGCACTTGCTCAGAAAATGCTATCTAGCTATATAGAGTATAGTACGTAGCAAATAAAGACCACAACGAAATGTAAAGAGTGAACGAATCAAGCATCAGGCGAAAAACAAGCAATTGTGAATCAAGCAGTACGTTATTATCAGTTAAGTGTTGCAGTCATACAGAAAAAAGAACTCGTGAACTATATGTGCCCATCTGAAACTGGGTATGTTGAAAACTAGGCTAAAGCCTGAAACTAAGCCTGCATTGGAACTGACTTACACACAAGAATTTAAAACTGAACAAGGAGAACGCTGCATACAAAACTAAGCTCACATTCTAACTGAGCTATACTCGCATTTAAAACTGAACTAGGCATGGACAGCAAACAGAACTGATTAAGCTCATATGATATTTAAACTGGGTTATGCACACACAAACTAAGCTCGGATTGTAATTGAGTTGTGAGCTCATTTAAAACTTAACTTGATACACCCCAGAAACAAACAAAACTCGCATTGTAATATATGATTTATGTAAGCAGTTAAAACTGAACTTGTTTGATACAGTAAACAAAACTAAGCCCACGTTGTAGCTAAGTTTTACACACATTTAACTCAATTAAGGGTATATTAGAAACAATACTAAGTTTACATTATAACAGAGTAATGCCTACCTTTGAAACTGAACAAGGCGTAAACCGACGCAGCCCCTAAGAGTTTCTTTAGAAACTATCAGCCTTTATATCACACACAGACTGGAAACAGGCTAAAATCAAAATAAGTTATTTTCGCGCATATAGAACAGAACAAGGCTTTTACAGAAATGCAACTAAATTTTTTATGAATAAAGTCGTACGGGCATTTAAAACTGAACTAAGTTTAAACATGAATCAAATCTAAGATTACATTGTAACAAAGCTTTGCGCGATTTAAAACTCAATTAGTCAATATAAGTTAACGTTAGGCCTACACTAGAAAAAAGAGTAAGGTTCACATTCCAACAGAGTTTTTAAATGCAGTAAAAGCAGAACAAGGGGAACACTGGAAAAATTTTTGTCCCTTTCAGATTTGAATAAGGATTGATTGCTGATGCATGTTATGTTCTCTAAAGTAACACCTGAAGGAAATTTTTCACACCACAATAAGCGCTCGTAGTCGTTCAAACTACCTAATTATGTAAAGTGCACTTCATGGCGTGCACTTCATCACGAAAGAAAAACTTAAATTAACAACTGATCCGGATAAAAGGAAATTATAAACCTGATACTTACATTTTCTGTGCAATCAATCCCGTTTAGAAGATTAAGATGCTCTCATGATTTAACTTACATAAACATAACAAAATCCTTTCCACCGCACTTTTAATTGCTTAATATTTCAGCCATTTGGAAATGAAACTATTTCTTACAAAAATGAGCGTGTACGCTTGTTTTGTCGGTAAAGCGTGTTATATTTTAAATTAAAAAATACTGAGGGATAGTTTGTTCTTAAGCAATACCCAAATAGTTCCCTAAAACTTAATCTTTTACCAAAGAAAATGTTTCTCTAGAGCAAAAGAAGTAGAAATGAGTATTTACTACATAGAGGGTACTTGCTACGTTAAATGGGTATTTGCTACAGAGTGGTTTTTGTACAATAAAATCGTTTAATAGGGACATATAATTAAAAAAACAGGTTTAACATGTTTTCTTTAACAAGCGCAGAACTTTCCAACCGAAAAAACGAATTTAAAGTAAAATATGATTTTATAAAGAAAAAAGATAATTGACCTTCTCAAAAAATTTTGAATTGTTAAGTCGAGTTGATACTATATGTGGGAACGCAGTTTTGCTCTAAAATTAAGATGGTGTGAAAAGTAAAATATTCCAGATGCCAGAGGGGTTTTACGGCAATAAAAAGAACTTGAAGACCTTTTAAGTCCGTCAAAATTTTTTATTTTCGTGATTTCTTCGATGCGTGTACCAAAGATTGATTGTTTGCTACGTTGGTTGTGTTTAGATTGATATACTCACTAAAGATTTCGTATTGGTCGGTAACTTTGAATAGAAGTATTATAAGTGAAAAATAGACTGATATATTCCACAGTAAAACGGGAAAACATTGGAAAATTTTATATCAAAAAAAGAAGAGGAGAGAAGGTAGCAGATACTCAGCCATGAATCTGGAGAGAGGGAGACAAAGACAGAGACAGAGAGGGTGGGGAAGGGAAACACTCACCCCACGGGCCTTCCTTGATCTCACCTTCGACCCCACCCCTCTGCCAAACACGGACAGATACTGACTCATCCCATTCACGTTCAAATAAATATATATATATATTTTTTGTTTGTTTGTTTTTTTCTACTAGTTTATAAGAATGACAAATAAAGAGACCAGCTTAGAAGTTACAATATATTATTTTTCATTTTTTAGGTCTTTTATCATGATACCCATTCATTTCAATTCTCATGACCTTTCCTTTCCAAGTTACAGCAACATAAATATCCACGAAACACCGCATCAATTCTTAGTTACCACGACCGGGAAGAAGCTGAAATGTTCATCTTCAGAGGTCACAGAACGCAAAAATGAAAAGTGAAAATATCAACTGCATAAAAGCTTTTCTGAACACAACGCTTGGCTTTCAAAATCACTCTAGTCACATTTCACCGGTGGAAATAGTACACATGAATACCAGTTTCCGGGACAACATGTCTTCTTTCATTAGTTGTAATGCGCAAATCTGGCTTTCGGCGAATGTCCGGTGCGTTTTCGGGAAACTGCTCATGAAATCTTCGATGAGCTTCAGTTTTACTCCAGTTGTCTTGCAATTCCAGAAGTGCTGAACTGGGCCTATGATTTTCTTTAAGCTTGGCTGATCGGAACCACTTCGGGTACAAGTCGTCGCTACTGGTCGAACCTGTCTTCGTTTGCTCGGGAACTTGACTCGGCATGTTGTTCAGTATGGGGGGAGCTGCGCGCTTGACACTCGCAGGGGCGGTGACAGGTCGTGAAAGCTCACTGAAATACTTTGAATTCTCGTTATTTGTAATGGAAGAGTAATATAAGTGGGGGTGAGCCCGAGCAAAGGCATGCACGTCGGAATATTCCCCGCTGGGATTAATCAGACTATTCTGCAGATATCCATCGCTGAACTTAGGACCAGTGGTCAGATCTAAGATTTCTTCATTTACAAAGAAATTTCCGTGAGTCCTTTTGAGAGACTTTTCCCGGGCTTCTTCTTCTCCTTCATCTTCACTATCTGTCATCCAAAGTTCAGTGCCATGGCCTACAACGACCTTTTTCTTCTTCTTGTTTTTCTTTCTCACTTCAGTGTGGCGTCCCTCTAGAGGCCGCGGTGGGGCGAATTCATTCCTGAAATGCTCTCTCTGTGCGAGAAAAGGTAAAGGCAACGACAGTCAGATTAGTGTAGGTAATCGCATCGGGCCGAGTAAGATTAAGGATTAATATCACGCGTGTTTTCGGAAGTTGCTGAAATTGCCCGAGTCGCTACGCGACTCGGGCAATTTCTGCAACTTCCTAAAACACAAGTGATTTTAATGCTTAATTTTACGAGGAACCATGTGATTACTTGTTTATAATATAAGGGGCAAAATGTTTTCTTACTGATCTCGCGCAAAACAGGATGTCATTGTTACAAAACAAACAGAAATTTCTTTACCTTGGCAGCCGTTGCTAAGCGATTTTCAGCCAATCATTTTCAAGTAATTTTGCCCGGGGCAATTACAAAAATTAAGAAAAAATGCCCTCTGTCTTGACCAATCACAATTCAGTAATTTTTCCCCTTATATGATAAGATCAGTAATACAAGCATTTTTTTGGCAAGCTCTCCACAAAAAAGCGACTAACTAAACTTCTGCTCGAATTATCAACAAATTACCGGAAAAACAATGATGAGAATAAACTACAGTACCAACTGGGACTATGAGTAGAGCAATCTTCGCAGTAACGAACACTACTTAAGCAGTGGTGAAAATGAGGCCTGAAAAAAAAATTCAGGCCTGTACATGATTCGAAACCATGACCCCTACGATACCGGTGCAGCGCTCTACCAACTGAGCTAACAAGCCAACTGGGAGCTGGTCTTTATGTTGGTTCGTAATAAACTCGTGAAGTGATGAGTCAACGTTTGTGAATATATGAAAGTCATATATATGACATCATAGTTTAGGAACTAGAAGAGAGAGTTGGTAAAAATATCTTGGACAAAAAAGAACAAGCGGTTTACGGATTTGAGGGAAAAAAAAAGGAATTTCCAACATCCACATTTTTGGTGGTGAAGGGGGGGGGGGATTTCCTAACCCAAAGATTGACAGAAAACATGGGGGTGAAAAGAAAAAAAAACAGCATAAAACTAACCAGGGTATCGTTCTCTCCTCTGCAAACACGGTCGAAATTATCCAATTGAAGGATATTCTGTGGTCCATTGCCTGTAAACTGCTGTTGGTAATGTGTTTGCCAGAAGCTCTGCTGAACATTGTACAAGGCCTTCGCAGTCCGGGGGGTCACTGCCAGGGAGTCTCTGTCGGGGGTGTTTGGCACTACTGAAGTAGGAGGGATGGGGTAGTAAACTTGTCTCTGTAATTCCGGGCCCTTGACCAACTTTGAAATAGGAAAAAGTGAATATGAGAACGAAAAAGAGATGACTGATAAGAAATGATGTTTAAGACTGTTTGAATCGTTCAAAAATACCACAAGTGTTGACCATGCCGCCTACAATATATAGACAAGTTCAAAATCCTACTCCCTCTCGCCCAATAAACAACATATCACGACGTCTTGATTACAAAGCAAACGTTAGACGTATTTCCGGTTTTCCCTTCCCTTTCAGATACTAGGCGAAAACCCAAAATACATAAGCGTCCACGGGCAAAGCAGCCGTTCACACGGGACAATTATTAACACATCAATGACATAAAGGCCCTTGCATTCAGGTTATGTTGCCCTTTCTGAATCACTTCAGAAACCTGCAACACGTTGCTACAACAAAGGGTTTCGTTTAGAATCTTTTTTGCGCCTTACAACACCTTATTTGTTCCTGACATGAGAAATATGCGTTAGAAGTCGGATCGTGTAACTTTATCTTTATACTCTTGTCCTTGTGAAAAGAGAGTAACGCTAACTTCGTGTTACGAATTTTGCCAACGAACTCAAACCAATATCATTAGCAGCCAGGGCCATACCCTGTACCAAACGGTCATAGGGAGTCTATTTATTACTCTCTACTTTACCTGAAGAAGGTTGTGTTCTGGCCAGGTTAAAGGTTTCCTCTCGGACTCTCTCTGTATCGATACCAACTCCCTTCGGTCAAAATGACCCTTGGTTTTCTCAAGTATGCTGGGGTCTGGTGCCGAAGCTGGGGCTGTTGGAGGGAGGGTAGGGTGAAGAGTAACAGCTTGTTTTCCCTTTTTGATGTCATCGGGGGACTCAAGCGACGGGAATACCTGGAACTTAGGCATGTGAGATGTGTAAGGGTGCTCTGATGGAAATCCTAAAGGAATTTGGATTTTCCTGGTGGGAGCAAGACAAACGTGAATAACATAACATTGTGAGGTCAAGTGGCCCTTATAACGCACCTCAATCTGGTTCCCATAATAACAAGCGACTAGGAGTAATAATAATAATAATAATAATAATAATAATAATAATAATAACAATAATAATAATGAGGATTTCTATAGCACCATATCCTATAGCTCATGGCGCTTTGGGGGAATTTGGCCAGACTGCATTAGGCAGTTTACAATTTTTGAAGGGAGTTTTTGCAGATGCCCCCAATATCAGAATCAAGGCCAGACCACAACATCGGGAGCAACGTTCCCAACTCTTTACGATAAGTGTGTGGGTTCTTTAACGTCTCCTGCTTAACAGTACAGAGAAGATGCAAGAGACAGGGTCTACGGTTTTTCGTCGTTAACCGAGAAGAATACCGTGCTATTCCTTCAAGGCAATATATCAGTAAACCCTTAAATCTATCTAGTTCCCTAACAGTACCAGTCTTTCCTCCAAAGTGGAGAAAAGCACCCAGAGAGTTAGGTGTTCTGCCCAAGATCCGGCCAGGCCTTGAACCCAAATCTCTCGCAAACAGAGTCCTGTGCGCTACCTACCAGGCCAATGCGTACTGTATGTAACTGACGAATGTTATCCTTACCGGTGTATGACCCATGCGTTTAGCGCGCGGAACGCGAATTGAGAAGGGAAAACGAGGATCCGGGACTTAGCGTAAGGATCGAGAAGACAAAGTTTGGTAATAAAGGTAAGTAATAGATATCCCTTTGATATGTTGGACGGGTTTGGTAAACTATTTATAAGCCCGCAAAACGGCTTCAAAAACTAACGCAGTTCAAAAGCAAAATAAGTCTATTACATAATGTTGTTCAATATTGTAGTTTTAACTAACAATTTAAAAGAAAAAAAGAATAATTCGAACATTCATTCATCCATATCAGAACCAATAGCGATAAACGGCAAATTTTGGGGAAAAAAACTTTTAACTTTAATGGAATGTGAAGTAGAGACCGCATGGACTTGCATTACGTTTGCTTACCGCATTTCTAACTTTTCCGGATTTGGAACCCTGCAGAAAAACACAACAGATATTTACATCTTAGAAGGGTCGTTATTGGGTAACCTAACGCAGTTCATACGATACTTCGTCACGATCGCGTTTTTGCAAAAGTCACATAATCCTTGTAACTGACGCAATAAAGCAGCGAGCGACCTTTATTAGAACTATCACAGAGACGTATATTTACTTTAATTTAAGCCTTCTGTTTGTGAATTTGCTAATACGCGCGCTACCTTCGTTTCTATAAAGTTGTACCGTATCGCAAGCGCTCACGAAAGCGCCGCGACAGCCAGCAAGCTGTTTAAAGGGTCGTTTAAAGGTTAAGTTGTTTTCTTGTCATACCAGTTGACGCAAGATCTTTCAATGGAAAGCGAAGTTTTAGCCGCCGTGCTTAAACCCTTTTTCTAGTGATAGCGGCACCAAGGTAAAAATTTTTACGCCTTTTTAGTTTATTTAATTAAGCAATTTGTATCCTTCTTTCTTTCTTTGTGATTTATCGTTTTGTAAAGTAAGTTGACTTAAAAAAAAGTTGCTTACGACATCGTTGTACCGTTAATTGTAAATCGTTATTTTACCTTTGTCTTGTAACTTTTGAGTCGCATGAAATGTATTTATATCCGATTATTTACACAATCTCATTTGTACTTTGTTTGTACTTTTATTTTAGTTCTCACAGTGTTCGTTTAGCAAAGTAAGAGGTAGAATAAATTTTATGAACATCAGTTTGTGAACGGGTGATCACTGGAGTAATAATCCTTTCACGTTTATAACATTTCAGACGCCACGTAACTACGGCTATGGTAGGACTCAAATTAAAGTTTTCATATCAAAGATAGATATAACAATTAAGAAAGACTAGTTAGGGAGATAAACCTGCATTCGTTATACAACAATTTTAAAGAGTAGTTAAACAGGAACCTAAAAGAGGATAATACTTGAGTAAACCTTGAATACCCAGTACAATCTACAAAATACCATCGTGGGGATCTCCCTAAAAAGTCCTACCCTATTTAATACTATCCAGCTGCATTTAATATTGTCTACAAAACGCGAATTGAATATTAAAAATAAAATTGCGAAAAAGAAAAAAAAAACTCCACTGATTACACAAGGGCCATAAAAATAAGTATCAGCAGCAGCACAGAAGTAGCCGTTCGTGCCATGTTTTTTGTCAAAGAGCTTTTGTTGTCATTCGAAGATTACTTTAGTCTGTTTTAGTTTCCTTAGTTTTTCCTACCACGAGAACGGCAAAAGAAACGTGGACCCAAGGAACGAGAATAACTAGAAAACGACTGTTCCCGCGTTTTAAGGAGGCTCGAAAGGGTTTTCCACAATTAACAGCAAGTGCCAATCAGTAAAAGATATCAGGACTGTCAAACTTATCATCAGGATAATGACTTGACATATGCATAACACTATCTTAGGGCAATCTTTTAAGGGGGTTCGTCAGGCATCATCTGTTGCCATGGCAACAGC